ACTTACTTGGGAAAATATAAGAAAGCTTACTGTTTAAAAACATGTAGTGATGCAAAAAAATTTCATATCCTAAAACAATACGATCATTTAAAGCAGCCAGGTCCATATGGCGAGGCCTGCATGCATGAGAGACCGAATTCTTGATCCTTAGTGTTCTTTTATTACAAGGTGTTTTGATATCACTTTTTTTTTTCTGGGCACAAAATGTAAAGCCAGTCTGGACTACTTTGTAGTCTGTGGATCATTCAGATAATTTTTTTTTTAAAAAGACAAACAGTTAAGAAATTGGGGGAGTTGGTGTGAAACCCCGAATTTTTTTGTAAATGATGTTATTAATTAATTTACTAGTTATTTACTTAGTTAATTTATCTCTATAGAGATTGATGTTAATGTCTTATCTTATCTCAACCACCAAGTGAAAGTAAGAGCCATGATAAGAGAGAGTAGGAATTAACATGAACTTGTAGATATTATAGAAGACAAACTAGGAGATAAAGTAGAAAGAGATGGAAGTTAGTTTGAGTTGGTGGAGTTATTTTAGGACGAAGTGGCGTAAACCAACTCCAACTATAACTAGTCTAATAGTGAGTAAACTTTCACAACGTTACAAGAAGAAAACCATAAAATAAGAGAGTAAGGACATGTCAGCAAAAGGAAAAGTTGAAATCAAGAGATTGGACAGAGGCAAGAATACAAGAATTTGGCTCCTCTGACCATGAACAAGTAAGGCCGTGAACTCTTCTTTTAATATTTCTTAGTTTTCTCTTTTACTAACCAAAGATTTTCATCCGTAGTAGCCCCAAAACATGTCTGAAATATTAGGTACAAGTTTTGTGAGTTTTGATAAGTGTTTTTGTTTAGATTATGGAAGTTCATAAGCCATGCGACTACCTTCTGGTTAATAATACTATTAGTTTGAATGTAGAAAGTCAAAAGAATACTCAAACCAATGAAAAAAAAGGTGAAGTAACCAGACCATGCTTTATATAATGTTTGGGAGGAATTGATGATTTCTCTTTTGAAACACCTCTATGGTTCTGCCTATCATTGGGGTTTTGTTAGAGAATAGAAGGAATTTTATGGCATAAGGGGCACTTGAAGGCAAGGCCACCATTAATATGAATTAAAAGGATAAAATATTGGTGGTTAATTCTTGGTTTTACTGCCGGAATAGAGGAAGAAAATAATTAAATAGTTCAATGCCTTAAGGTTTTCTATTCCTAAGTTTTCAACACAAATGAAAGATTGGTCATGTCTTTTGCTTTCGTGAGAATGGTTTGTTAGTAACAAGAGGAAGAAGAAGACTGTTGATTTGGTCTAGCTTTCGGAGTTGTTGCAAATTGCAAATTAGCCCTCGAAATTTGGGATAACTAGAATGGGGTAGCTAAAATATATTAAAAAAACTGGTATTGTGGGTTAAAGCTGATTATTAATAAAGGCTGATTTAGGTTGAAAGAGATTGAGCTTTAGTTAAAATTAATAATTGACTAGATAATTGGCTTAATGGATATTTTGTTGGACTTATTAAGCTTTCCCAAACAAATATAATGAACATATGTTATAAAACTTAAAAACAAAATTGTAGTATTTTGAATACGTGCCTCACCTTTGATCATGGAATCTTAGGCTCGAACTCGTTGCACACATTCTTAAGGAAGTTTTGAAAACCTAAATTTAATTATAATAATCTAAGTTGTGACAAATGGACCCAATAACAACACCAAAGGTTCAATATTTCTTTTAAGTCCTATTTGAATAAAAAGAAATATATTTTTATGGTTGGTCTCAGCTCTAGAAAGTGACTTTAAATAAGGCCGGCCATTTCTTCTACAAATAAACAAATGAGTAAGTTAAATAAATACATAGCATTTATTTTATGAATAACCAAATTATGGCCTCTTCTAAAAAGGGAGACGCTTTTAAATTAGGAAACTTTCTGAAAAGAAAAACCTTCCATTTTAGGAGACTTATCAAATACTTTTTTAGGGTTATTCAAGATAGAAATAAGAACTTTAAATTAGGATGTATGAGCTGATTAAGACATACATATGTTATTCATTATAGGTTTGAAGCAAGTTTAAGGGTGCACTAAGAATTTCTTCAAGAGAGTAGTTTGAGGTAGGTGGTGCTTACCCCTTCTGTAGTTTTGAAATGTTAAATATGAATATTTTTCGAGTAAGAACTTTATTTTGGTATATGAAGCAATGGATCATGTATGCCTATTTCAAATGTTTTGCAAGCATGAAATTATGAATACTTGAAATATTTTGCTATGCAATATTTTATGGAATGAGTGGAATATTTTCATGAAACGAAAGAAAGGTGCATGTGACGCGTGAAATAATTTTATGTTACGAAAAACTCTAAACAGTCATGGAATAAACAGTAGGGGCTATAGTCCTATTTAATGGTAATAGTAGTCTAGTATAGAATTCGGCCGATTGACCTATGTATGTAATGAAACTAATTGGTAGTCATGAAACCTATTAGTTGTCCACCTAGAAGGGGTTTAATCTCTAGACTGAGTACTCAGAAGCCGGATATTGCATGTGCTTGTTTATGAGCTATGTTATGAAATGAGATGGCATGATTGATATAATTTATGATTTGCAAGTATGTTCAATGAATACAATCATGTCATATTATGTATATTTCTAAGCTATGTTTGGTGGGGGCCACCTCTAGAATCTATGGGACTAAGTGCCACGTTAGACAGAGGCCACTTATGTTTAAGCCTCTCACTTTCAATGGAATATATTTATGTAATATATGAAATGGGATGACAAACATGTTTAATTGATATATACATGTGGCATGGTGTGACCGAATTTGTAAAAGTATATATAGTATATATATATATATATAGCTACATGATCCGACAGGGGAGCAAGTATTACCTATTGGGCATACGTCGCTCAACCCACGTCTAGTTATCTTTCTTGCAGATCAAGAAAGTCGACTCATGTGCGTTTAGAAGATAAGTGAGAAAGGTATATAGGTAGGTGTTTAAAATTCTAGGAAGTTAGAATAAAGCATTTTGTAGATGTAATTTATTGAAATGTATATGTTTCATTGGTATATGTAAGTTTTAAAATTTTAGTGAATTTTTGTAAACTATGGTTACGATGCCTTGTATTTATGGGAGTAAGATCTCATAGATACGGCGTGCCACGTTGCAAATCCAGTCCAGGGACCTGGATTTGGGGCGTGACAGTTGGTCTTCCATGTAACAGCCTTCTCTTGACAAGATAATTGGGTTTCAAAATATTGAATGCATGATGAATCAGAATTCTCAACTTCTTGGTTGCTATTACAAACTACAATCATGGTTGAATCGAAATTACACAAAAAAGTTTGCAGACAAACTTAATGCCAAGACTGTATAGCCAATCTCTTTGAGAGCTTTAAAAATTCATTACAAAATTATTACTCTACTGATAAGACTATGGCATGGGCAGTTAATTCAAAATTCTGATGTACTTTATGAAAATTAGCAGAGTCATATACACTGCTGTAATTTTAAAAAGAGTAAATTGCACGATATGTCACTAAACTATTGTGAAGTGCCGGTTCTGGTTACTAAACTTTTTTATTAGCCAAAAATGTCACTGAACTAGTAAATCTGTACCGTTTTGGTCACTCCGCGTATTTGTGGCGTTACAAGAGAAGGAAATCAACTTTTTGAGGGGCAATTTTGTCTGCATAGCATTTGTGGGAAAAATTTCATCTGGTAAATGAAGGCTTTAACTTGGGGTTTGGAATGTTGGTAAACTTTTTGACAAAGTAAACAATGATAGTGAAAAGTATCAAAATTGATCTAGCAAAATCATAGTAATCAGTGCCCAGATTTATGAGAACCAACAAAAGACAAAGATTAGCAGTGAATCGGTGATCAATGGCAGTGAATTGGGTGAAAAGGCAAAAGGATGAGTTCATTGATCCGTACACATTATACGGTAAGAAATATTACAATCTGTACACATTTTGTATGATTAATGGTGTTGTTTGTGTTTTGAGTATAATGAAGTATTTAGTCAGAGTGTTTATTGGGTTTAGGGTTTGCTGATGTGATCCGCTTGTTTAGAAAAGGACATAAGAACCATTGACTTCCCTTTTTTGTAGTATAAGTGGGTTGCAAATGGTCCTACAAGACCCTCTATCTTGTAATTTACTCATAAAAAAATAAACTTTTCAAACTGCAGTTGTCTGATTCGAGTTAATTAACAAATAGGGGTTAAGTATTTTTATAAGAAGAACAACATGTATGACAATAAAAAATGGTGATTAACAAGAATCGTGTTGTTTGCCTTTGTTGTTATTGCAGTCCCTGATAGATCTGTATTTTTTCTTAAACTCCACCATCGTGGTAAAATTAAGGGAGAGAAATACAAGAGTTATGTAGGTGGAGAGATTGATTATTTTAATCTTTGCCATGCTGATTTTATGTCGATTCATGAAATAAATAAAATGGTGGAAGAGTGTGGGCACAAGGATTACAAGAGTTATGTAGGTGGAGAGATTGATTATTTCAATCTTTGCCATGCTAATTTTATGTCAATTCATGAAATAAATAAAATGGTGGAAGAGTGTGGGCACAAGGATACCATGTTATATTATTACATTGACCCTGACTAATGGAACTTCAAACGGATAAAGACATTAGACAATTCTGCGGTTGGGTTAATGAGTACAAGTTGATGGAAGTATACTGTCATCATGTAACAGTTGAAGAAATATATGAGTTGTAGAAGAAAAAGCAACTGGAATAGTTATCACAGACAAAGAGTTCAGTGGTAATAGAGGAGATTTTGGATGATGGTGAAATTCTTACACAACAGGCAGCGGCACCTCATAGACGAAAAAAATGAGTCCAAGCTAGTAGATCAGTTGCAGCTATAGAATGAGCGCATGACCATACTGGTAAAGATGAAGATTCATATAAAAAATCTTCTAGAAAATGTGAGCAGGCCAACAACAATACATAGAAGTCTGAGCCATAAATGCATAGCCAAGTTGATAATGACCCAACTCCATCAAGTCAGAATAGGAGGGACAATGATAGCTCTAGTAATAGAAAAAATAGAGATAGCAGAAAATCTCGTACCTTGGAGGCCCTTTCTGGTTCTGCAAAAAGAGCTAGAAATGGAGGTTCAGTAACTCAAGGTGCATCAAATAATGGTGCTGCAACTCAAGGTGCATCAAATGGAGGTGCAGCAGGTCAAGGTGCATCAAATAGAGGTGCAGCAGGTCAAGGTGAAACTAATGAAGGTGCAGCAACTGAAGCCGAAACAGAAATTGGTGGAGATTGCCAACGCCTTTGTAAGCAAATTGTATATATTACAAATGCCTTCCATAATCTTGCAACTGAAGCCCCTTTAGCTAGGGGTCTTGCCCGCTTACTCCAAATAGGTAGAGCATTAAGAGGAACAAATACAAAGATTCATTCGAGTTTTGCAGGATTTTTATTCTTTTCTGTGAGTATATTAACTCCAAGATGCTTGGAGAATAAAGAAAGAAACCGTTGATTTGGAATTCTAGGTTATATTAATTCTAAGAGAAAAATATTCCTTCTTCCTTTTCCTCGTTATATTTGATGAACAAGTGCTCATGATCATGGTTCAAAATCGCGGTCGCGGTCTGGACTGTTCCATATCGGTCGCGATCTCGGCGAGATGCGAATTTTTGAAATATTTAATATTCTAAAAATTGTAAAAAATATGATAAACAAAAATAATTTAAAAAATTAGTAAAAATAATAAAAATTCGAGTTGACTCGGGATGACTCGGAGTGACTCGGTCGTTTCAACCCTTCACGGTGACGTCTCGACGAGTCACGTATCTCGGTATCGATTCGTCGTGGTCTAGTCTCGGACTAAACCGAGACGGTGACAACTCGGCCGAGTCGTCTCGGTCTTGGCTGAGTCTTCGAACCATGCTAATGATGGCATTACTCTCTCAAGTTGGACCACAATGGTTCAGAGCGTTCTGCTACAAGGTAATCCATCGAAGTTGCCATAAACAAAAGTAAAAACTACAAGTTTCATTTCTCCAGGACTACAGGAAAGATTAATTTCCAAGAATTCTTAACCCTAAAACTTCCATAATCTGGTGTCCTTGTAGGAAATGGTGCTGGGATTGAGCCGCATACTCATCTCAAGGTCCTGTAACTATCATAATCTTCTCTTTGTAGTCTACCTAGCAAGATCATTACATATTTGGACAAAAATATTATTTTTAATAAGCACTTTTTAGATTGTTCATATTTATGCTTCACTGATAACATGTCACTTACACCTCTCAAAATCCATGGCTTCAGGGATACATACTTGGAAACCCAGCACCGACCACTCAAGGCGATGGAAACCATGCAATCCCGTTTGCTCATAGGATGGCGCTAATCTCTGATGAACTCTATGAGGTTGAATATTTTTTAGTTACACGCTGCTGAATGATGATCTTTTAAAACATTGTGTCACGCATATTTTTTTAGTGCACAGTTACCCTTGATTTGCTAACTAACCTATATTATAATTTTACAGTCCTTGAAAGCGACCTGTAAAGGAGAATATGTAAATATAGACCCCAGCAATGCGCCCTGCTTGAAGAATATCCAGGCATACAATAAGGTCAGCAATCTTTTTCTCCTTCGTGTTTCTGTAAACTATTTTCCTACTTAATAAATTAAACCGTCTATGCCTCCTACAAAGGTTGAAAAAAAAATTAAACAAAGAACGATTAATTTTCTATGTACTGACGATATGTACACGATCAGTATACTGTTAAAATAATTTTGGTAAAATATGTGCTTCTGCAGTTGATTGATAACATCGAGCCTATGCATGTGCTGGAGCCCACTTGTCCTGATGTTTCACCAAAGCCAAATAACTTATTCAGTGGCAGGAGATCAACTGTTGAAACGTTCTATAAGAAGTTTGAGGAGCTTGATGTTTTGGAATTTAATCCAGTTGAATGTCGTGTAAGATATTGCTATTATCTTTGCGAAATCGCGTGTAAAGCAATAAATTAAGTGTGTTTGGAAAGGAGATTATTTGAAATATTTTTTTAAAAAATATTATAACATTTTTTTATACGATATATACGAGATAAAAAAAGATTGAAAAATGTATTTATTATGCAAGTAGATAAATTTACGCAAATGATTTTCTATCCAAACACAACATTGTGATTAATTCTTGCCCACATGGTTATCGTAGGTGACCGGAGAGGAGGTTCTATACTACTGGGCTAATGACAGGAGTGTCCAAGAGGCCCTCCATGTGCGAAAGGCATGTAAAAATTGTACATTTTGATATTCCATTTTAAGACAGCTTCTCTAAATTTGGGCACGGAGAGGTACAGTTATGATTTGGTGCAATTGTATCTAATTATTGTAGTTTTTACAATAATTGGTGTACACTTACATAAAGCAATATATATATATATACACACACACACACACGATAAAGTAATGTAAGTGTACATCAAAACTTGTAAGAAATACAATATCAAAGATATAATTGCACCTAACACAACTGTACCTACCATAATTCTCTAAATATTCTTGTTGTCTTCATGTGATTCTGCATATATTTTGTTTAATTACATGACAGGGGACTATTAAAGAGTGGATTAGATGCAACTATAGCATACTATACACAAGAAATGCAGGGAGCGCTGTACCATACCACGCAAACCTCAGCACTAAAGGTTACAGATCTCTCATATACAGGTTTGGTAACAAAATATTCGTATTGTAAAATTTATATCATCACACTCGCGGATTAATGGCGATTATATATGTTGAAAGCACAATATTTGTATTAATTTCAGTGGTGACCATGATATGATCTCACCATATTTGGGAACTGAAGAATGGATAAGATCTCTAAATTACCCAACTATTGATGATTGGAGACAGTGGATTCATCAAGGCCAAGTTGCAGGGTTGGTTGAAAATTGAAAATTGAAAATTTTCTCCTTGTTACCTTTAACATGAAGTTAAACAAATTCATTCTCTTTTCTACGTACAGTTATACAAGGACTTATGCAAATAAGATGACATTTGCAACTGTAAAGGTGAGAAATTCCTCTTTCTCTTGCTATAGTGTAGGTTTTCAGGTTGTATTAAGTTAAGAACACTATTAGATTTGACTATATATTTTGCTTCATTTTTATCAGGGAGCAGGCCATGCTGCTCCATATTATAAGCCAGCGGAATGTAGATCCATGTTTGGAAGGTGGATATCCTATCAGCCTCTCTAGTCAATTGGGAGATGGGTATGAAAGTATTAGATCGTTTAAGAATTCAAAAATTTCGAGTGTTAAATGTTATTGCAAACGCCATCTGATTTCAGTTAATAAGCATTTACTTCAAGAGAATGCTTTCTTGATGAAAGATGAGTAAGATGTAGTCATTGAAGAATGTCTCTTTTCAAGAAATGGATGTATCGAATTTTTATTGGATAAAATTTGTTTTGACCATGGTCGATTGTGAATTTGCGAGTATATAGTAATATGTTCTAAAAGAACTTCAAAAACACAATAAAAATAATAAAAAATAAAAAATTAAAAAATAAATCTACCACCTCTTTCTTTTCCACTAACCACCACCTACCGCTGTCCCTCCCTTCCTCCACCGCCGTCAACCGTTCCTTCCTTCTTTCTCTTCCCTTTTCCTTCTTCTTGCTATTCCTTCCCCTCCACCATTTTCCTTTTCCTCCCATTCTCTGCTTCACGCAATTCCTCTTTGCTTCCTCCACACCTGTGGCTCGCTCAACCAAAGAGAGAGAGGGAGGGGAGGTGTGTTGCGGGAGAATAGGAAGGGAGGAGAAAAGAGGAGGGAGAAGGAGAGGGAAAAAAGATGGTGACGGTGGTAGGTAGTGGTGGTGAAACTTTAATAAATTTTTAAAAATATCCCAATAAAATTTTAAAAATATTTCAAAATATATCTTTAAAAACACCTAATTTAAATGGACTATCAACACAAAAATATAATTAACATACACCATTATAGTAAAATTTTTTGCACAATATTTTCAAAAATACCTAATCCATATGAATCCATTCAATTTATAGCCTGCATATGGGCAAATTTCTTGAAAATATTGTCTAAAAATTAAAAACTCCAAAAAATGTAGCTGAGAAAATGTTTGTTTCTCTGTCTATGTCCGTCGTGTCTCTGACACACACCGGACTATTTTATTAGTTGGATTTTTTTTGTTAAAAAAAGGAAACTCGCAGTGTTTGAGGAACATAGTGGACTCTAATTACAAATTGGTCCCCGCCAATAAAAAGAGGCCGCTAACAAATTAATAAAACTCACCGTGTTTGAGCCTGCTGGCAGGGACCAATTAATAAAAAGAGCCCGCTGACAAATTAATAAAAAGAAGCACGCAATGGGCGCCCGTTTGAATTTTTTTGTCTACCGTACAAACACAGCAGCTTAATATATTCCTTTTTTTTTTATCCTTTTGACGACCAATTGGAACTAATGATTTAACAAATATAAAGTATCCAAAATTGTAATAAATGTGAAATTTAAATTATGCAAGAATTTTGTTATTTGTTTTTAGTATTTAATTTTCAATTATTTTTATTATGGAACTTTAATTATATTAATCTTAAATCATTTTAATTATGCCAAGCCAAACATTGGGATCAAAACCTCAATTCCCCTTAAGTAATTAGATGAGATGTACAAGTGCATTATGGTATCAAATCCCCATATGGGATTCTTGGTGTCACTTTTTAATGGCAACTCTGTGTCATTTCTATATTTATGCCAAACGTCCTGTTTATTTAACTTGTCATATGCAATTTATTTAAATATTTTCTACCCTCACGTGATAAGTGAGATATTGACACTGAATTTGACATTGGATCGGATAGTGGTACCGACACTACAACAAAAATGGCTTTTCCTGACACGTCTAAAAGGACACTTGCTGGTTTTTGTCATTATAGCACTTTTATCATGACACTTATTATCAATTCAATAATATATACTTTAATTTTGTTTTATTTTATCTGATATAAAAATAATAATGTGTCTTTAGATTCCCTATCATGACACTTGAAAAAATGTGAAATACACCAAAAAAATTAAAACATAAAATGATGTTTTTTGATTTTGGCGGAAGATTCCTTCGCCAAAACACTTAGTGAGATTTCAAAACTTTTATTTTGCAAGCCAGCGAAATTTTGGTTCTTCTCATCTCTCTCACAAACTCTCTCTCTCGGCAAACTCTCTCTCAAAACTCCCCCATTTTGGTTCTTCCGTCTTCCGCCTTCGCCGCCGCCCACTCCCCTATTTTCAGTTGCTAACTCGGCCGCTTCTTTACCCTATTCGGTCAACCACGACACCTGCACCAATAAGCCTTCGCTCTCTTTGCTAGGACAAAAAGAATAAGAAAATAGATACTCGTGCTCTTTCCTTTTTCTTCCTCTGAAAACCATCCCATGCTTCTCCTTAACTGACTAAGTATATTTCAGCGTTTGAGAGTGCTGTAGGAGTTAGAGTATGCGGAAGTGGCAGTATGCTCTGCTTGCTTGTCATCATATACCCAAGTAATTATGTTACTCAGTACATTGCTTAAGAAACGTATTGAAATGTAAAAACTTCGTTGTCACTTAATTAGTGTACATTTTCTGTAACTATGATAATACTTTGTGCTGAAAGATAAATTTTGTGTGTTTATACATGAGGCAGCAGGTCCATTGAATACAACTTGGGACTCCAGAACTTTGAAAGAAGACATGGAAGATATGTGGATTCATCCCAATGTTAATAAGGAATGGATGAAGTCAGGAGAGAAAAAGGGAAAAGTTCAATTTTCTCATGACACAGAGAGGAGGCCTTATCTTTCCCATGTGGAACTAAGGGTGAGATATTGTTTATACAATACATATTTAATGACTGACTATTGAATGTTAGCCTTTTTCTTTAATTTGATCTCTCTTTGGCAAGTGAAGGGTGAGTTTGCTGTACTTACACATTTCTGATTCTGAAATGATTCCCTTTGGATTTAGCTGAGTTGATTACACTATGTGAACCATAGGTTGGCATGATTTAGTTGTGTGACTGCCATGTTACTGTACAATCTACTTTCAGAGTACGTTGCATTAGTGTGAGATTGGTCTGTGAGTTTATGCATTTTATAGAGTGTTTCATCTCAGCCCAATGCTCGTTTGCAGCTGCTGTTGATTAGACCAAGTTGTGTTAAACTTCTCAGATTGTAGTGATAAACTTTTTGATCGTCAAACTCCAGGAATGGTTCAATGATGAGGGAACTCCAAATTTCGCTACTAGGAAGTCACCATCTTGGAATTGATGATACCAAAAATATTGCAAGAGTGGTACAACACATGCTTATAGATGGTGCTCTTTTGCAAATTACTGCAAGGAGATTACGTGGTTCTCCTGAAAAAGTTGAGTTTCTATTTGAAAATGGTATCTAGTTGTCACTCTGCATCTCTTTACATTCACCTTGTTATGATCTTCATTTCAGACTAATTTCTTTGTGCTAATTGCATATATATTCTTCATGAGCTTTTCTTCTCCAACTTGAGAAATGGTCCATCAGTTTCTCAGAAAGTCGAAAGCCCTCTCAAAACTATATGCTTTGATTTTTTCTGAAATTTTATTTGGGGATGTTTAAAAATGAAAGGTAAGAGAATATGAATGGGGAAGAATACGATTTCCAGGGCAAATTTATGCAATAATTTTGCGTGTAACATTTAAATGATGTTTAGGAGAATTAACTTTGTTATAGTCAGCAAATTGCTGGATTTCTCCAAATACAAAAATTTACAGTATTTGATATGTTTACTTACGATATAGTCTAGATGTGCCGCGGTGCTTCCTCCAAAGTTGCATGTTTAGACCAATTTGCTTCTGCTTTATGATTGAAGTGGACATTTCTTTGCATTTAGAAGCTACATTGCTTTAGATGCATCTCAGTATGCTGCGCATTGACTAACTTGTCGCATTCACT